GATAAAAGTAGTATTGATGAAGTAGTATGATAGGAGGAAGTACAAGAATTCCAAAAGTAGTTGAAATTTTACAAGAATTCTTTAATGGAAAAGAACCAAATAAAAGTATTAATCCAGATGAAGCAGTTGCATATGGAGCAGCAGTACAAGCAGCTATATTAACAGGAACAGGAGGAAAAGCAACAGAAGATGTATTACTACTTGATGTTGCACCACTTACACTTGGAATAGAAACAGCAGGAGGAATTATGACAGCATTAATTGGAAGAAATTCAACAATTCCAGCAAAGAAATCAGAAATATTTTCTACATATACTGACAATCAGCCAGGAGTATTAATTCAAGTATTTGAAGGGGAAGCATCAATGACATCACATTGTAATTTACTTGGAAAATTTGAATTAACAGGAATACCACCAGCACCACGAGGAGTTCCACAAATAGAAGTTACATTTGATATTGACGCAAATGGAATATTAAATGTAACAGCAGAAGATAAAACTACAGGAAAGAAGAATAAAATTACTATTACAAATGATAAAGGAAGATTAAGTAAAGAAGAGATTGATAAAATGATAAGAGAAGCAGAGAAATATAAAGCAGAAGATGATGAGAATAAAGCACGAATAGAAACAAAGAATCAAATAGAAAATATGTGTTATTCAATGAAGAATACGATTAAAGAAATGGGAGATAAAATAAGTTCAGAAGATAAAAAGAAAGCAGAAGAAATAATAGAAAAGAATTTAAGATGGATTGATAATAATCAAAATGGAAGTAAAGAAGAATATGAGAAGAAAAAAGAAGAAATGGAAAAAGAAATAGGAGGAATTTATTCAAAAATATATCAAGGAAGAGGAAGTAATGAATTTACAGGAGGAAGAAATACAGAAAAAGAAAATAATAATAAAGGACCAACAATTGAAGAAGTTGATTAAATAAACAAGCAAAAGAAAATATGTAAAAATTAATAAAAAATAATTTAATAAATTAATTAAAAAAATGGTTAATATAATAATAAAAAATTGAAATAAAAGTAAATAAAATTTTAAATAA